CACAAATATCCTCGGTAACTTTACTAAGTTTTCCTTCTGCTTCTTCCATCATAATCACATCCACTGATTTCTACTTGTTTGCAGGTCTCATTTGCAGCTGGAAGCTCAAACCACCATTTATTTTCTGTATGGGTTCCTAATCTGGAAATGAATCTAATTTGCTTTACCAAATTACAAGCAAATTAAGATAAACACATTGTGTTATGTCCGGATGCATCATGGAACTTTCATGAAAGAGGAAAAACCACCTTTGTCATTGCTGCGAGTTTCTTCTTTCCTTAATATCAATAACTTTGTGTTGTCAAAAATTATAAAACGCCTCTATAAATTGTAGAGTTTTTCCTTCGGGCCAGGAGCTGGGTAGCTGGAGCTGCATCTGTCTCACATCTTTCATCCTTTCAGCCCTTAAAGAATGTCCTTGCCAACATCCCAAGCTTTATTCCCATGCAGTTCTTCCCCTTGCTTTTAGATGCACTTTGATTATCTGCAATATTGCATTTGATAGTATTACTAAATAGTTCTGAAAATTTTCCTTTTGGCAACAGCTTCTTCCCTTTCAAATGGATTTTTTTTCCCTAGTTGTAAATCAGCTTTAGAGTCTTGTATGTCTAAAAGAGTAAAAACCTCACTGCTCCAAATGAGACAAGTATTTTGCATTTCCATTTGCTCACCCATCAGGGAGAATTTTGTGTAAAATGCAGGAGAAATGTCAAAGTGATAAAATAGCATTGGTTTTTGTTCATTGTCTGGATAGAACAGCTGATGTTATGGAAAACATCCAGCACTATCTGAACTTTTTGAAGATTGAATTCAAAGAGGTCAAATACTTTATAGGTACTGCTACATTTCAGTGACAATTTTACTGACTGACAAATACTACATCACCTGAGGTTTTTGACATAATTTCTTAGTTTACTGACTTAAACCTGAAATATATCTGAAATATTTTTTTGCCAGGAAAGTTCACAGTCTGGATGTGAGATGGACTCCCCATCTGCATTTATAGCCACAAACATCAGCTGTAGTTTCCTTCTACCAAACCACATCTACTCGGCTCCTCTTCAAAAAGTCTGTTTAACACAACTGGTTTGCAAGATTATTTTTTAGCTGAGAACAATTAAGAACTCTAACAGATTGCTAGCTGTGATAATTAGCAGTCACTAAGCCTATCTTTGGGAAAATAGAGCACACTGTCCTATTTTAGTCCTACCATAGTAAGGACTGAGAAAATAATGTAAATACCCGTTGCTCTCCTGAGCAGCTCCTTGGGATGGAGAGAATGGGGCAGAGTGATCTCTGCCCGCCTAGATCAGAAGGTGTGTCATGTCGGTAAACACAGGCGATAAATTTAACTAGTCATCGTGACGCAAGCAAAAACTGTTGGCAGCCTGGGTGGAAACGCATGCTACTCCCTTCTTACAGGAAGGGGTAGTTTTATGTTAATAACTCCTGGAAGCAGCCTTCTGGGCTCCTGCAGGTCCACCTGCGTGCTCCCAGGCCGGCGGGGAGGCAGCGTCCTGGTGCCAGCCAGGGCGGGATGCTGGGGAGGCTGCTGGGGCACAGCCTGGGGCTGTGGCGGCGGGTGGCTTGGCCAGTCTTGCACCCTGCCAGAGACATTGGCTACAAAGCGAAGGGCTCTCAGGACGCAGCTGTGCAGACGGCTAATCCAGGTAGGTAGAAAAGCTTTGGTCGCTGTTTCATGCTGCAGCATGGAGGGAGGAAAAGGCGAGAAAATGACCCTTGTTCTTGTGTGTGGCTGTGTTACTGCAGTGCGGCATCTCCTGGGGTTACAAACGCTCCCAAGACATGGAGCAAATTGAGAACTCTGACTAGCACAGTGCACAGGGATAAAAACAAGGGGTTTTTTGTGTTAAATAGTCCTCCTCCTCCGGCTGCAAATACAAACTGATACTTCCTGTCAGGGAACCTGTTAATTAAAAAAAATAAATAAATGTTCCTCCCCCTACCCAGCTGCCAGGTTTCCAGAGGAGGACTGCTGCCAGGCTTGCACCCCTCTGCTCCCCCTGAGACTCCCTGCCAGGTTACATGCACAACTGTGCATCCCTGTGGCAGGCAGTGCCCTGGCTTACCCGGCAGGCAGCAGGCATGGGCTGCTCCCACATGGGCAAGCTCTCTGGCATGGAGATAGTTTCTGTACCACCACCTCCTTGGCCATGCCTTTGCAGACTCCTCACCCTAGCAAGGCTGAGCTGCCTGGGGCTGCCTGTGCTCACGTGGGATGGCTGTGGGTTTCCAGCATGAGGTTTTGCCCTTGTTTTCCCTGGGATGGAACCTGTGCTTTTAGCAATCCATCTTACTGCTTGCTGCAGATCTGATTCAGACGCTTGTTGATATTTCAGATGTAGCTATCCTGGTCTCACTGGCACTCTCTAAGAGAAACAAGAGAAGCAGGAGATTAAATTTACCTGGGGGTCTGGGTGCCAAGATTTATACCTGGGATTTTTTAGCCATTCACAAGTCCTGGCATGCATGAGCAGGCCTGGGACCAAGGCACTCAATGTAATTTCACCATCTCAACACAGGCAGGAAGAGATGCTCCCTGTGCCCTGTTCTGCAGAGGCAGTGATTTCCTTTCAGCCAAGCACCAGCAATCCAGCAACAGCCAGGGATTGCAGGACATCAAGACTGGGGGCATCTTCATGTTTGTCCCTTCCTGCATGCCCTGATCACCCCCAGACGATTTCTAAACCCTAGTCCCACATCTGCAAGCACAGGACACCGTAACCTAGCATCTTGGGTGCACCTACCTGGGTGTGTGAGCAGTCCCAGCTACCTTGTGATGACCAACCATACAGGTGTGCAATGCAAAAGCCAAGATTTGAGCTAGCTGTTGCTCACTCTATTTTTGCAGGGTCTCCCTGCCACTGCCCTCATTGTGGCCTGTCATTGGGCTTGTTTCCATCAAGAGGAGCCAGAGTCCCTTTCTCATTGTGCTCACGGTGATAAGCATGCTAATGGCATCACTCTGGCAGTCTAGTGGGGTGTAATGTATCATCATTAGAGTACAGTAATGTGGTACCCAGCTTGCATGAGAACAACTACCAGCCTCCCACCAGGCTGTGTTTTAACAGACCTTGTCTCTCCATCAGTGCTTTCAGAAGGAGATGCTGTCGAGGACTTATTAGTGCTGCCGGCAGTTTGCTTAACTCACTAGTTGGGCCATTTAAAAGCAAGATACGAGCAGGGTGAGAGCATGCTGCGGGCTTGGGTGACTGCAGCCCCACATCCTTTCTCCCCTTAATCAGGAAGGCTAGAAGAGATTTTTAGTTTAAAATGTACCTAAACTAAAGGAAAGAAAAATTAAGCAAAATGAAATAAGCTGAAAATGTAACAAAGCATTTCACACCAGCTGCTAGGTCCTTTTGACATTAGAAAGCACATTTGGCTCTCACAGAATAGAAAAGTGCCATTCTGAACTTTCAATCCTTTTACCCCTGTAATGACAGCTTTTTCCCTCTTCCCTTCTTTAAGCTTAGCTCATTGTTTTCTTTTATAAAATCTCTTACAGGTTACAAAGCTTTCAAAAATGACAGAATGCCTACAAATTTTGATAAAAAGGTGTTAGTATGGGCAGGACGCTTTAAAAAGGAGGAGGACATTCCCAAGCACATATCGTAAGTAGACTGGTCTGAATGATGCTTTTGGATGTGAACACACAGATTGAGACCCCAGTCTGCATTGTGCCCACATGGTGAGGGTTAGTGCTCCTCCATGCTGACGGGACCTGCTGCTACTGGTGTCCAAAAATAATCTGAATTTTTGGGAACATGATCTTTTTATCATGCCCCGTGAAGTAAACTGGATTCCCTCGCAGATACCATACATTTCAGACTAGGTCGAAGTGTCTTCTGCAAGACAAATGGCTTTGTAACTCAGAAGTCACCATGGTAGAATATCATCCACTTTGGGTTTTCGCATGCTTTGCTAGATTTTATTGATTAGCAATGAATAATGCTGCATACATTTTAAAAAGAAGTTGGGGCTATACACAGCTTTGGTGACAAACATCTGCACAACGAGTTCCTCATGTCTGGGCTATGGTTTCACCTCCTTGTTGAGATATTTTGCTAAAGGATTGTTACTCAGTTTTGGAGACCTAATGCTTCCTGACTTGTGACATCCTGGGGGCTCCTCCAGCTGGCCTTCCCCTTGCAGGTGTAAGTAAATCTATGGCTGGATATGGTTTCATGAATGACTCATTGCCATGCTGCAGTCTCTTGTAAGCATGAACTGGTGGATAAATGCCGTGAGTCACTCATGGAAGGTGGTGGAGATTTCTCAGCAATGGCTGTGGCTGCTCAGCTGCTTGGGAAGACAGCTCCGGACAGACGGTGCAGTTGTCCGCTCCAGCTCAGGCTCAGCCTCCCACCAGAGGCAGATGTCTGTGGGGCTGGTGCCAGCTGCCTGGCAGAGGGCTGTGCTGCAGTGGGACAGGGCTCAAAGCATCACATGCAGCAGATGGGGATGTGGCCACAGACCACTGCTTGCTGTGCCTCTTCGCTCTGTGAAAACTCTCCATTGCTCTTGCCCAAACTGTCATGCATGTGCTTTTGTTCCACTGAGGGTGGCATTGCCCGGCCATGGTGGCACGGGCCCAGTGTCTTCTGGTGCTGTGCAGCACGCCATGCCCTGCCCTGCAACACCCAAAGCTGGGCCCCTTGTAAACCTATTAGCATGATGAAAAGCCTTTCCTGTCCCTGTCATTTTTGAGGTGTTCACTCTCAAATGCAATAAAAGAAGGCAGAAGAGCAGGATTTGTTATTCCTGTTGTTACTGATGACTGTTGGGAGTAGCAATACCCCACCTGGTGGGAGGGTGGCTAAATCTTTCCCCCATAGCTAATCTTTTGAGTCCTCCTTTAAGTACTTGCAGAAAGACAAGGCTGAAACATATTGTACATTAATAGGCAGTTGCTGGAAGATTTGAGGATTCATTACCTAGCTCCTCATGATCTCATTTCACACATGCTGCTGCAGGATGGAAACTCTGTCATCCGCAGGTCTGAGGTCCTCGACGCAGCAAGGAACAGCGTCAGGATAAAGGTTTGCTACATCATGATTGCGCTGACCTTGCTGGGCTGTTTGGCCATGGTAATCACAGGCAAAGAAGTGAGTATTGTTTCTGGGTGAACTAATCAACTAAATGTATGGTCTATGGATGGTTTCAGTGTAAATAAGCACCTGGGTAACAGATATGTTTGAGAATAAGTCCATATGAGCAATATTTGCACAGGATCTGTATCACCCCATTCTCCAGAGGAGAGATTGGCATGGGGAAGCACAGCTTACTGGTTAATCTGTTCCTTCTGACCCACTCTGCTATAAATCTGTGCAGAACAATGCTCTGTATTGTAGTATCTCGGCAAGAGGCCAGTCCAAAGGTTGTGGAGTAGCTCAGACAATGTCAATGACCCTGGTCCTGCCCTGCATCCATGGGTCATGAGGCTCCCGTGGTCCTGCCTGCCTAGCCTGCGTACCACCATGGCCACCAAGAGCTGTCACACTTGCTTCTTCCCATCCCAGTGGTGGGCAAGGAGGGTCTCCAGCCTGACTTGCATGTCCCAGCGCACCTATAAACAATTTACAGTGTAATTTTCCTGCTAATCAGAGCTGCAAATTCTGAAGATTTGGTAAAACAAGGAAACACATTAACTTCTGTCACTGCAAAATATCAAAAAGGACAGTGGGATGTAAAAGCAAGTGGAGCAAATGTGGTTGGAAATGTGTGAGTGCAATGACTTTCACCACTTCTTTTCAAGGCTGCTAAAAGGGATCACACGCTGCTGAGGATGAACATAGAAAAGAAGGCCAAATGGAGGGCTGAAGCGGAGACGGATGAGGAGGCAGCTGTTGGGAAGCCACAATGATTGGGAACAGATTTATTTTAACAGCAGGAAATAAGTGATTTGCACATGGCATGTGTACCTTTCTTCATTTAACTCTTTGGAGCTTTTTCACTGAAACTCTCAAAGCAAAGACTTCACTGCTTAAAAACTGCTCCATACAAACTGGGAAACTTGTATGGAAACTCCAACAGCTGCTTTCTGTGGCCTCTGGTCTTTGGCACTGGGTTCTGCTGAAATATAGAAATGTCTTCTGAACTGGAAAGTGTGGGAAGGACAGATGCAGGACTCGCCAGCTCAGGTGCTGCTGATGCTCAACAGGGCCATGGGGCTGTCTCCTCGCAGTCAGGAAGGATGTAGCCCTACATCAGAGAGCATCCCATTCTATGCAATGCCTCTAGGGCAACAGCCTTGGCCAAACTGACCTGGAGCAGGGGGGAAAGGAGTCTGAGATATGTTTTGCAAGCACAAAGAGGTCAATTATCTCTGTCTCTGAGCCTGCTGCCATCACTGTCCCCTCTCCCTCCCCAGCCCCTCACAGCGTCCCATGGCTGGGGGAGAAGGGGAACATGAGCATGAAGAGGGGCTGGGAAGATGGAGGGGTGTGAGCAGACCCTGATGACTGATTTGAGCCAAAAGGGGCTTTGGGCCAGAGGAGGTGGCAGTGATTTGGAGTGGTAGTGTGGGCATGTGGAGTGATTTGGTGTCTGTGGGACAGCCTGGGATACCCAAGCCTGGCCTGGAGGCACCTCTCGTCCTGTTGTACCTCACTGGTTTTTCATCTTCTGCTTCCAGTCATTGTCATGGAAGTTCTTTAGCACTTGCTTAGCTGTGATTTTAGTCAGGAGTAATTGTTAATACATGGTATGCTAAAACTGGATTCTTTTTAATCATCATAGTTCATTAATTCATAATAAAACAGCTGTCCAATTACATCTAAAACAAACGCATCTCTTCACAGCTTCATTTAAAGTGTCACCAAACTCTCTCGGATGATGTTTAACAGATGGGAGAGATCCTAATGAAATATGGAAAGTTTTGCTTTCATGAGGTGATTAAACTCCAAGACTGGCCTTGTTCATGCTTATGGGTGCTGACAGTCTGAGCCCCTGTGCATTGTTTGTAACCCCTCAAGCCCCGTAAGACAGGCTGGTGGAGCTGGGTGCACTGCACGGGGTGCCAAGGGACGTAGAGTGACAAAATCCAGCCATCTTACCCTGGCTGCCAGAGGAGATTGCAAATGCTGTAACCACACTCAGCCTTTGTGCAGTGTCCTGAGCATTACACCAAGGCTTGGCCTTTGCATGATTTATTACTTGAAGCAGTTGCCCTTGTGCTCCAGGGGAGTCTGGAAGCCACTGCTCAGGTCTCGGAGGTTTAGTGTGTCAAAAATCACGTCCACTTATCGCTGGTGTGTCACTACATGAGCAACCTGCTGGCAAGGACAGGCTGGGGCATTGGCAGGTGATCAGCAGTTGTTGGGCTCTGGGACTCCATCTCCTCTGCCTGTGGTGCTGCTCCCTTGCAGCTCTTTTCCTCTGATACTGCTTAGGAGCACTCTTCTCCACATTGCACATCTGTTTAGGATGAGGACCATGTATGAGGGGGATGTTACATCTGTCACATCTCGGTGTTTGCAGTGCTTGTTTCCAACTCACAGGCCTGTGCAGTACAATCCACCAAAAGTGATGTCTGCTCCCTGTAGTATTCCTCACGAAGTGCATCTCAGGGAAGTGAAAACAATGGTCTAGGACAAGCACAGAGTGAGCAAATCTCTGCTGACCAGGCACTTGCCTGCACAGGTAACATGGGCTCTTTCATTTTACATGACCTGGTTTTCTAGGTTAGTGCAATAAACCTCAAGAATTACCTCAGAGTTAGTGTTCATTTGGAGATAAACTAAAACAGCTCTGGTCAGTCTTTTAGACTATTTTTTTCAATTCTTAAATGGCTTTCATGTGCCCTTTTTAAGAAGGCACACGTAACACTTAAAGGAATGTATTTTGATGCTTGTAAACAAATACACATCCACATTCTGAGCTTCCCTGACTTAAGCAGGAAAGGAGATGACCCTGACCATAGTCATATATAAAGAACAAGTAAATTAATCGTGACTTGTTGCACTCTGCTCTGCACTTCCCTCTGCCTGGAAAAAGAAAACACTGCTTCGGGTGTGAGCTATTATCAAATCCTCTTAAGCAGCTTTAGTCTCTGTTGACTAGTGCATAAAGCTGCTGCATTACACATCATCATTAAGAAAAAGAAAAAAATCTATTCCTCCTCTCTGAGCCACTGATGATGGGCCACTTCTGAGCGATCAGATGACCCAGGTGCTCTTGGGCTCTCACAAAGAGCTATGACTATTATGTAGGGAATAATCCTTTACCAGTCCCAGCTACATGATTATTCATTTTAATATCATAATATTCCCCCAAAAAATCAATCAGAGTAATTGCTGGCTTGCACTCAGTTAGTGGTGGGTGGCTGCTGGCGCTGGTGTAGCGCAGCCTCGGCTGGAGCCATCCCCTGTAGTATTTGGAGATGCCAGCAGAGGACATTGCACTACTCATGCCTCTCCAACACTAGGACTTATCACTGCTTGTTAAAATCAGTCTCCATCTGTATTTGCAAAGTCCTTTGACTCTTCTCTTGAAAAGCCACTAATTAACACAGCCTCCTGACTGCATAATTGGCTAATCCTCACAACCTTAGGGTTGTGGTGGGGTTTTTTATTTCCCCTCCCATCTATATTGCTTCAGCATCACACCTGATCCCCCAGTCATTTAAAAAAATGGATGGGAGTTGCTATTAGGTAGGAGCTATTCTTTCCTTTTTAATCACATGCCCTTATTTCCTCAGCTTGGCCCTGAGGACAATGTGAGGGGGCTGCCTCCTCTCCAAGGCACGGGATGGAGTTGACAGTACTGGTTTGCCATGATACTTATGGAGACCAAGGGTGAGTCCTTTCAACTCGTTTCCTCATTTATTGTTCTGTACTGGGAGGAAAGAATGCTTCCTCCCTTGCAGGATTTTTGCTGTTTTCATGAACTCTTATATGGAAATGGTTAACAATGGTGGCTGGTGCCATAGAGATTTGCATTATAATAACAATTATTGGGGTAGATTTTCCCTAGTAGCTGAAGTAGATCTAATTCTGCTTCCATTAAAATCAGTGCTGCAGTTCCTCCTGGCTGTGGATTATGGTTATCATCCACCATATTTTGAAGTTTCAGTGATTTCTGGAGACTCAGCTTCCTCAGGGAGCCAGGCTGCTGTGGGGCAGAGCTGGGTGCACCGAGCTTTCTTCTGCCAAGGTGGTGAGATCAAACTCAAAAAAAGGTGTGAGGTATTGTCAGCATCCCACTGCCTTGGAGGAAAAGGGTGAGATGGGAAAGTCTGAGCTTGGTCCCTTCCTTACTCATTTTACCTCTCTCTGACCTGCTCAGGGGGTTTCTAGTGACACTTGATTTCTTTCCATCCATCTGCTATGTGCAGTTCTCCCTGGGATGCAGCAAGGCTGATGTGATCCTGCACTTGCAAAGGACTTTTTCCCTGGATGCAGATGAAATCTTGCCATTCAGAAAGATCTCTTTTTAAAGACTTCACTGTTCTTCCAGTGTTTAGTCTCTCACCAAGCTGGGAAACTGCTGCTTATTTAAGGCTGAATGCACCTAGCTTCAGCTTCCAGACAGTGAACATATTGTCTTCAATATGGAATATAAAACACCCCATCTCAACTCTATCCTGTGTGCAACTAGTCACCCCTCAGCTATTGTCTGCAGTAGGATTCCTGCTATGTTCAAAACACCTGTAGTTTCTAACCATTGCTTGTGGGTATCACTGGCTTACTGATCAGTTAAGTGATCGACATTATAGTGAATTTACTCCTGTATCAAGTGATTTACAACTACTAGTAGCCCAACTAGTAGAAAGAGTTGGGCTCACTCATGGCTTATGTATGCTCTGCAGTGTGAACAGAGTTATCAGAAACTGCCGGTGAGACTAGAACAGAAAATTGAGTGATTTGCATGCTGGTCTGTAATACACTTCTCCCAGATGATGTATGGTCCTGAGACTTTTTCTAAATGAAATGGAAACCAAAATAGTCCAATGAATTAGTCATATGCTAATTACAATCATGCCTGATGGTTCGTATTTCTGTTTCTGCAGAATGTATGAATGCAAACGAAACTCTTAGCTCCCCAGTAGCTATTTTATCATTGTCTAAGCATTGTCCTGCAACAAATTTCTAACAGCAGGGCTATAATCTTTACCAACGACATCCATTAGGGCTGTAAAAATGTCATTAAAGCAATGCTGCTCCAGGGGGGATGGAACAATCTCCAGTATGGTTTCAGACTTACTAAGGGGCTGGAGTAAACCTTCAAAGGTAGGCAGTTAAATATCCCAGCATTTCAGTGCTCTAAGCCCCATGAGAGGGCAATTTTACTCAACAAAAAAACCTTAATGCGAACAAAAATACAACTATTGCATGTTGTTCTCTCCCACTCATTTCCTTTTTTTCTTCTCCTAAGAGCAGTTGTGCAGGTGGCACAGGGGATGCTGTGAGCTGGGGACTGCTGGGCACTCACTGCTGTGGCATGAGCCCACGCACGTAGCTGTGGGATGCCGTGGGGCTGCCAAGCGCTGCACAGTGAAACTCTGCAGAAATGGGTAAGGACCTGCCTGTGCAGCTGCAGTATCTAATGTGGCAATTCCCACAACCTCTCTGTAACTGCTAATGTTTGGTGTTCGAGGACTTTTTAATCTTCTTTCCTCTTGTTGCCTTTGCTGAATGCATTAGGGAGGGATTTTGAGCTCATACAGGTGAAGATGGTAAAGATCCAGGTGTCTGTGGACGTCCATGGGTGACAACTGGATGTGTGAATATCTCCTGCTGCTGGGAGGACACAGGTGTCCTACCAAGATGGTCTCTGGGAGCCAACGAAGCAACTGCACAGGCTAAGCAGAGACAGCTGCTGCTTAGATGGCACTTTGCATACAGCTCCCCGAAGGTGGCTGAT